GGGATCCAGACGTGATTAAAGGACACATGTATATGTGTAATGTCTTTGTGCGTGGGGTGTACGTGCTGTGTAGTGATGTGCGTGCGTGGCCTTGTTGTCCATGTAAAAAGAGTTCAAGTAAAACATGTAAGTGGGTACGAAGGCATGGATAAAAATCATCTGCTTCAGGTGTGCAGCTTGCAATGTATATATACGTGCATTTACCCGGCCGCGTGGTAACTACGTACTTACGCTCAGTACGTGCAAATGTGCTGTAATTTTACTGTGCACCACACACTTATATGGGAAATGCGTCGGTGTGCACGTAGGACCGGACCACGCTATGCAAATTTTCTTGGCGGTGCCACCCGTGGTAAGTATTTATCACTCCGTACCATTATGGGCACCAAGAGTGAGAGAAGCCTAGATACATGCGGCAGGCAGAAGGCACTGTACACGATACGGTAAAAAATGGCAGGGGGCAGTGTATATCGTTCCGGTCCGGAAACTTGTCAGTTCTCTGAAAAGGGAAAGAACGGTTAAGGCGATCGTGTCAGTGTTCTGTAAACTGCTACAGGCTGTGTTTTCATGTACACAAGGCAATGCATGGCAGGGGTCGACAGGGTAGTACTTGTACTGTTGCATGCTAACCAATTCTTCTACTGATACTGATTACGGGCAGCACGGATGCACCACGTGTATGGATTACGATGGATATGTGGGGGCTAGGATGCAAATTAGCCGAGCAGATCTTTATGTGCACCAGATCAATGAGCTGTGTGCATTTAGTTTCGTGGGAAAACATGCCTGCGAGCTTGGAACCTGCATTTCCAAAGGCAATGGACAAATTTGAGCCCCCGTATGTCCGTGGACAGCAGGGGTCGAGCCTCATTTGTCCGCCCCTACAACCGTCCTCCGTTTCTCCTCCCTAAATCCATGCAGCCCATGCAACGTAGATCATTCCGTCGGATACGTTGGAAATTCAATAATTCAACTTACGACATTTGATAGTTCAACATATGAAAAATTAAAACATAGGACATGACATGCTACGACATTGACCCTAAGGCTAAGACAAATTGCGTCGGACGTTATTTAACTCACAGTAGCCACCGCCGCCGCTGCACCCGCCCCTCGGGTTGTATGGCATGGAGCGAATGAGTAAAACAAGTGCCGTCTCTACTCCACCCGCGCTACAATGATCACTTGCTTCCACTCGACCCGTGTCGGGGTGGCCGGGATGCCGCCCAGATGTTGGATCTGCGCCGGGCTGGTTGGGATGGCGTCCGGCCACAGGTCTGCGCCCAGTACCAACGAAGCAGGAGCTGCTACTCTTCCTTGGCCTCGATGAGCTCCTAGTTCACCCCGTCGGGGTCTGATCCTGATTCAGAGCTAGGCATGGAAATGATAGGAGAGGAGAGGGGTAGAGATGAGATGAGAGGGGAGTGAGAGTGTGAGCTAGGGTCAGGGTTTTGGGCTGATCGGGTGGATGAGGATTTTGTGGGGTATGCATGGGCCATACCAGCATTGGCCAACATGGTCGACATGTCCAGACGTGTCCGAATAACCCCATACCCACCCTAGAGGTTGGCTAGGTTTGGGACGGTGCAGCTTGTTCGCGCAAATCGGGACGGTTTGGGAACACCCGTCATTCCTATGTTTTTAGTCTGGACATAGCTATATGGGAAGTCCTTTGGAGATGTTATTGTACCCTTACTATTAGCTGTGAGGGTAAGCATTCTTAGTTACTACAAACTTATATTCTCAATTGTCACTGTACCAATGAGCAATGTGCTTCTTTTCTTGTTCTATGCCACTTTTCACTAAAATAAATCTCAATTTTGACGCCATTGTGTGGCTCACTACGATACATGTTAGACCTAAGCAAAGCCTATATAGCGATATATGTTGAAGCATAAATATATACTAATATCACCTTATTCACACAGTTGAACTCAGATAACAACATTCACAAGTATATCTATAGAAATAAGCATTTATACACAACATCACATTTCACTGCAATGTGCAAACATGTATCAACATTTAAAAAATTGATGATATTTCATTGTTCCAAAACATCTTGTTGAGCTGTGACAAGGGGTGAAAGTCTACGCAGTAGGTGTTTTTCTTCATGGACTCATCAATTGTCATTCATTGACTATAATTAAATTATGAGCATCAATTGCAATTATATGAGGTGATGTGCATGTTTGTTGTTATGGATATGCGCTAAAACTTGTACTGTCAACGAGAAATTCAACATTGTTGCCAACTGCATGAATAATGCAAAGGACTAGTGCTATGAGCCCGACCGTGCTTTCGCGATACATAATTGCATTATGTACAAAACATTATGTATGCATGAATTCACCTACAGTACAATGCATTTGCTTCCCCAAACATATCTTACAATATATAAACATATCTTTTGCAGAATAATCAGCGATTCCATTAGTAGTTTGAACTATGCTTATTAAACAAGCTTATGCAATTGTGCAATGCTACTTGTTAGTTCACTAAACCTTTTTTTTAAAGCCATCCCATGATTTTGCTATTTTTATTGACAAGCATGTCATCATAGAGTTTCCATCCATATCCCAATTATTCCACACGCTCCGAACTTGTATTATGTTAAGTTTTTAACTAAGTTTCATCATCTAGGGAGTAACTTAAACATCTCATTTTTCTTGCTCAAAGAAAACAGCTCATACACTATATTGCATTGGGTGTTGGCTAGCTAGTTGCTGATGTGTTAACAGAGGAAAGCCGGACCATTGTGGGAAGGTAAGAAACCAACCCTATAGCTTTGCCCTACACAAGAAAGCAGCCAAGCTACCCTGAAGAAAGCAGCAACTGCTCCCTGGCTGCTTGGTAGGTGCCTTTTGTGCACAGGAAACAAACAGAAAAAAGATCATAGTATCACAAGTAGTAGCGGTGGTAGTCTTTGTTTAGTCCTCTCCCTCTCCCTTCACCTTGCTCTTTCTTCCTGTCTGTATCGTTTTGTTTAGTCCTCTCCCTCTCCCTTCCCTTGCTTTTTCTTCCTGTCTGTATCGTTTTGATAGTACACATACATGCACACATGGTCAATGGGATCGAGCATGCATTTTGAGGAGAAAAATGTTGAGAGCAAGGACAACTCCAACGGGATCACAAAATCAACGGCACAAAATGTCCATGCATACGTCTAGACATGTCCGCAGACAGTGCGCGCCGGCCCTCCAACCAGAGTCAACAAATAAAAGCGGTCATGATTTTTTTATTGATCTTTGAATAATTTCTACATAGCAAAAGGACCTAAAAACTGCATTCTACTTCTCCCCGTCGGAGATGAGGCTGATGAACCCCACACGGGCGGTCTGGCCTCGTTGTCATTGGCGGCCAGTGTGAATGAGGAGGAGCTGGCGACGGATGTGGCAACATTGTCGTGTTGGCAGGCGCATCGCCATCGTCCGCTTCCAGCCCCTCGAAGAGCCGGTTGCGCTCCCCTACTTGTTCATGCGGAGCTGCCAATAGCCATGGCGGATGGTGCGGAGCTGTGCATGGAGGCAACCATGGCAGGTTGACATCGACGACCGTCAGGTCCACCACGACCATGGACACGACAGTAGCTTTGTTCGTGCACTCAGCGTCCGGCTAGTCATTTACCAGCCATTGCCCCCTAGGAGTTGGAGGTAGAAGTGTTGCTCCACCTACAACAGTCTAAACACGGACACGGGTGGGTCCTCCACCGACACCGGCTCCTCCTCCGCCTCCTCCTCCATATCCTCCTCCTTTTATCTTAGCTCTGAATCCAGGGAGCTCGGAGTGGGCCCGCCTCAATGCGGGCCGGGGCCGGGACTTTGCAACATGGACCTCCGCCAAGATTTTGGCGAGCCACCGCGGTGAGAGCTGCCTCTACCACCCACGTAGCGGTGCCAGCCATTGTGGAAACACATGATGGACAATGTTGCGAAGGTTCTCGAACGGGGGTGAGAAGGGGTAATTTGACGATGGCCTCGACAGTGGAAAATGCAATAGAGGGGTAGGATACTCGGCCGTGGCCAGCTGACTTAAATAACTAGGGTAGGCGGAGCAACGGGTTGAATGTGGAGCGCAGGAGTAAGCTTTTTAGGCTCCGCGATGGTGAGAATGCCATTTAGGCGGACGAACGCTCAGCTGGCATGAATGCTGGTAGCCGACCGATCACGTCCACTCTAAATGCGTGGAGGATTCTCGTGGCGCGGAGAGGTTTTTTTTCGATGGGTCCAGGGTGTTGGAATCTAACGTGACGGACGCCTGAACTCCCCCAAACCTACCCTCAGTTTGTGTTGGTTTGCGAGAATTCAGACTTCTGGATCGGTCTGGACAAATTTAATGACCGTGGTTGGATGTGATAAAAAATGTCGGGACCGTCCAGTCCAATGAACATTTTGCGATCGATTTGGTGATCCGCGTTGTGGTTGCTCTAGGAACACAAAGGGTTGAGGACACATCCGGCCCAAAGAAGATCACGTGAGTACATATTCGAACCAGCATCACATTTTGATTTTGCAAGCAGAAGAAAAACAGCAATAAGAAAATAAGTACATAGCCCACGCAAGTGTCCATGCATGCATGTCTTCTCTGTGGGGGTATACGCTTCTCTCTCCAAAACAACCACGGCGACTTGTTGCACCGGAACAGCAAGGAGAAGGCCCGGCCATCTTCGCCCAGTGAGGCAGCTGACACATACTCCTACATGCCACTCCCGGGCAAGCTACGCGCCAAGAGTTATTGCCAACGGACACGCACACACTCATCACTCTCCTCCCCTCCACTCTCCCTCTACACCACAGTACACCACCCTCTCAATCTCTTCTCTCTCCTGGCTGCCTTTTTAAGCACCTCTGCGCCCTCCACCACCTTACACCGCACAGCACATCCTCACTGATTCATACAGCCAGCTAGCGAGCGAGCTTAGCCAACCACACGCCTCCTGGTCCTAGCTAGCTCCCCCCGGCTTTCTCTTCTTGAGCTCCGACCGACCACTCACTCGGGCCATGATGAGCGGCGGCAGGATGAACGCGGCGGCGAGCGACGACTTCCCGTTCGCGGCAATGCAGCAGCCGCCCTACGTCGGCTTCGAGCACGCCGGCATGGTCCAGGCCGGCGGCGGCGGAGGAGGGGGGCAGCGCCACCAGGGCGCCATGATGTACGACAACTTCGACTTCGCGGCGGCGGCCGCCGCCTTCGGCCAGTTCCAGGACGCGCCGCACCACCAGATGCTGGCGCTGCCGCCCAACGGGGGCGGCGCCGGCGGGCTGCTCCCCATGGCGCCGCCGCCCATGCCCGGGATGCAGCTGCAGATGCCGCCCATGGGCATGCACGGCCACGGCGACGTGTACCCGGCGCTCGGGATGGTGAAGCGCGAGGGCGGCGCCGGCGCCGGCGACGCGGGGAGGATCGGGCTCAACCTCGGCCGCCGGACCTACTTCTCCCCCGGCGACATGATGGCCGTGGACCGTCTCCTCATGCGGTCCCGCCTGGGCGGCGTGTTCGGGCTCGGGTTCGGCGGCGCGCACCACCAGCCGCCGCGGTGCCAGGCGGAGGGCTGCAAGGCCGACCTCTCCGGCGCCAAGCACTACCACCGGCGCCACAAGGTGTGCGAGTACCACGCCAAGGCGTCCCTCGTCGCCGCGGCCGGCAAGCAGCAGCGCTTCTGCCAGCAATGCAGCAGGTCAGAGCCAGACCCACACACCCACTCCCTCCCTCCCTCCCTCTCTCTCTCTACAAATGGAACAGTAGTTCTTGCATTGTGAGGTGATGTTCTTGCAGAAGCCCAGTATAGCTAGAGCCAGGTTGCAGTTAGGCTAGGGGTAGGGCCAGCGGAAGCTGTTGGCCTTTTCAGTTCGCGCTCTGATTCGGCTCGTGCCCATTGTCCGTTGCGGGCAGCCATGGCAAAGCTCTGCTGTCCTTTGTGCAAAAGCAAGCCCAGCTCGGCCGCAGTCGCGCACTACACTGAGACGACCAGTCATGTCAAACCAAAAAATGACAAGAGAAAACACTGCTCCATGGCATGGAGGAGTACTAGGTCATGCTCATGGTGGAATCTGACCATGGCGTTTTCCTTGGTGGTTTTCCGGGGATCGATCGATCAGCGGGCGGAGACCGGAGAAAGGGTGGTGGAAAGGGGGAGGGAAAAGGCTGCGTGCTTCGGGATGCCTCTGCAGAGCGCAGACTGGGAGAGGAGAGGAGAGGAGAGGAGGGAGACGCCATGGCTGGCTGGCTGATCCGGTGCCAGGCTTTTGCCCTGACCATATCTCTGCCTGCTGCCTTTCCTCTTTATCCTCCCATTGACCAATGTTGTAGCGGCCGTGGTGCCAGTGGCGGCTAGACTTTTGCATGCCAATTATAGTTGGGAGTACCTAGAACTCATCTAGATGAGATATAATTTGGTCTCATTCACTTTGAAAACAAGAACAGATACAACCCACGTCAGCACACACGCATCTTACAGCATCACATCCGATGGCTATAAAAGGTGAATGAGACCAAATTATATCTCATCTAGATGAGTTCTAGCAAAACTGATTATAGTTTTCTTGACAATCCATGCATGTCTGAACATCCTTTGGTTGAATGGTGGATGCTAATTACTGCTATAGGTGTTTCGTTAGTACATAAAAGGTAGCAAAAGATTAAGTTAAGTTTGTTGTTCGTGTAGGTTCCACGTGCTCACCGAGTTCGACGAGTCGAAGAGGAGCTGCCGGAAGAGGCTGGCCGAGCACAACCGCCGCCGGAGGAAGCCGGCGAGCAGCAGCACGACTGCGACGTCCAAGGACTCGGCGCCGCCTTCCAAGAAACCCAACCCGGGCGCCATCTCCAGCTCCTACGCCGCCGACAACAACAGTAAGCTTTGCTAGCATGCATTTACCTTTGCTTCATTTGCATCCTACCCAGTGCAATTGATCACCATTATTAACCACGCACGGCTAATCAGTTCCCTTTTCTACGTACGATCGAGCAGATTTGAGCGCCACCAAGTCCAACATCTCGTCCAACACGAGCGCCATCAGTTGCCTGCAGCAGCACGACCAGAGCAAGGCCGCGGCGGCGGCGGCGAGGCCCATGACGCTCACCCTCGGGGAGCCGCCGGAGAAGGACGACCACCACCGGCAGCTCAGCAACGCCATGCAGCTCCACAACCACCACCAGGAGCAGCAGCACTTCATCACCTCCCTGCTGCAAGGCAGCAACAACAACAGCAACATTCTGTCGTGCTCGTCGGTGTGCTCCAGCGGGTTGCCGTCTGCCGGGGCGGCCAACGGCGAGGTCTCCGACCAGAACAACAACAGCAACCATGGCGCCGGCAACAATAACAACAATAACATGCATCTCTTTGAGGTGGACTTCATGTAGACGACCGATCGACGCAGGTGAGCTTGGAGACCCGTACATGGAGCCATGGAGTGGTGACCAGCCTACGCCTAGCACTGCACCAACAGTGTCCTTTAATTAATTTGTGTGTAGGTAAAAAAAAAGGAGAGCAAAAACCTTAAGGGTATAGTCCATAGTCTCAAAGTGCTGAGATCAGCTAGCAAAGGCTGTGCAAGCTAGCATGCATGCCTTTCTTCCAACTTTCTTCCCTGCGGTGCTCCTGTAGCGCTGCAAGCAAGCATGCCTTCCTGCCATTTTCTGTTTCAGTGAGGAAATAATGTTTGTGTTAGTGTTATTTTTGCCCTGTTATTAACCCTTTTACTGTCTCCTTGCATTTAAGTTTCTGCGCTAGTACATCTTACATCTTCCACAGCTAATCAACACATTACACATAGAAAGGGGTGTGTAGCAAGCTCCAAGAGGATAGTTCAAAATTCAGTGCGTGCCCAAAGCTTTAGCCAAGAGAGGTCCCAACTCGCATTACTCTCGAATCTTTTCGAATCCGCCATTGCCCAAGCTTTCAACCCTGACCGTTTTTACCGGCAATGCAATGCAACGCATGCACGGAGTATCAGGAGTAATTCCAAGGGTTGGACCATGCATGCAAATGCTTGCTCTTGGTATTAACTGCGTGTCAAAATGGAGCCCTCCACGCCACAGATCCTGCCTGGGCACGTACGTACGTACGTACACGAGAGGCGTAATTCACGACAAGGCTACCTGGCTAGAGTGCGTAGTACGCGCTCATCTACAGTAGTGGTGGTGGTAGTACCGCATCATGCATTCATACGCATGGAGTTCATCGACATTAACTAAAGCCATGGATGGATGGATCTGCATGCATGGGCACGGCTGCTAATTTTGCGTGGGGTGGCCGGGTGGGGATCGACCTACCTACGCGCCTTGCTGCCCCCCGATACGACGTGGGACTGTAGCGGCAGAATTGACAAATTTGACCTTAAAGCAAAAGTATTTCACAAACTAAACTGTTTTTGAAAATATTTCACACTGCTGACCTTTTTGTGCAGCTCCCAACAGTAAGGCGCTGCACTCTACTGTGCAACTCCTTACAGTTAGGCGCTGCACAGTGTAGTGCAGCTCCTTACAGTTAGGCGCTGCACAGTGTGGCTCCTGTGTGTTAGGCGCTGCACAGTAAGAATGTAGCGCCTTGCTGTTGGGCGCTGCACATTAAAGGTCAGCTGGGTGAAATACTTTTAAACATAGTTTAGTTTGTGAAATAGTTTCGTCTTAAGGTCAAATTTATGTTTTTTGCCGACTGTAGCGGCCCGTCCTGGGATCTGGGGCGTTCATCCCGTCGTACATATGTATTTGGCGGGCCGTACGTGCATGCATGCGCCAGAAGATTGAATGCTGCCTGCGTGCAGGGGGGGTTAATTCGGCCGGGCCCGTTGCTTGCATGCATGCATGCGGCGCAGGGCGAGGCAAATCGTGTCTGCTCGCTCGCTCGCTCGCTATGGGTGGTCGATCGTAATGCATGCATGCAACAGCCGGCCATTCATGGCGTATTTGCTTGCCGATTCGGCTGCCTCCGAGGGCCAGGACCGCGCATTGAAACGTTAGGGCATCTCCAACACCGTCGTCTAAAACGGATATGCCTGTTTGGGCGTGGACACGGTGGCCGGAGCCGGCCATCCAACCGCATCCCCTAAACGTCTGTCCAGGTCCCTGGCCCCACCTAGCTTTGGTCGTCGCCCCGTTGCCCTCCCGTTAGCCGTCTATTTGATCCTTTGCTTTTCATTTTTGTCGGCGGGTGTGCCGTGTCGTCGAGTTGATCTTCCGGGTGACCAATTTCTTCGGATCCTCCACCCGCCCAGCTCCAGCAGCTCTTCGTGCGGATCCATGCGGCTTTAGAAGCGAAAAGGACGGGAATTTAGGTGAAGAGCTACGGGAATGGGAGCGGAGATGGTGAAGAAAGGAGGGGGAGTGGGGTTGGTGCAAAAACAATGCATACTGTTCCAAATGTGCGGCCTCCACTTTGGTTTTTGTGTGACGAAGGTGCCGGAGTCCTAAGTGGCAAATGTTCGGACTCCCGCAAAGTCCCCTAGTTTGCTTCCGGGTTGCACGGAAGACGGACACCTGAACTAGTCGCTTACAACGCGGGCGCCGTTTGATGGCTTGCATCGTCCAAACAGCTCGGTCCGAACGTTCATGGATGATTTGAGAGTCCGTGTTGGAGATTCCTAGCCTAGGGGAGTGCTTGATGTTTAGCAAAAGCAAAAAACAAAAAAGAAGAAATTTGAACACCCAGTCTTGTTCTTCAGCCAAGATTCAGCGAGCGCTTAATTAACCCACACTAGTAGATAAAGTAGCTTTTGTCCCGGTTGGTAAGGCCCTTTAGTCCCGGTTTTTGAACCGGGACTAAAGGGTCGTTACTAATGCCTCTCCCCTTTGGTCCCAGTTCTTAAACAAACCAGGACTAAAGGCCGCGGCCACGTGGAGCTCCACCTTTAGTCCGGGTTGGTAACACCAACCGGGACTAAAGGAAATTTTACGATTTTTTTTGAAATTTTTTTACTTTCAAATTTCTGAATTATTTTAACCTCTAATCTCTAATCACCACCCCTCATCACTGCTCAATTTATCCTCTAATCTCTAATCACCCCTCATCATTCCAAATCATCTAACTTCCCGAACGGTCACGCATCTTCCCGAACGTGGAGCTCCACCTTTAGTCCCGGTTGGTAACACCAACCGGGACTAAAGGAAATTTTACGATTTTTTTTAATTTTTTTTTATTTTCAAATTTCTGAATTATTTTAACCTCTAATCTCTAATCACCACCCCTCATCACTGCTCAATTTATCCTCTAATCTCTAATCACCCCTCATCATTCCAAATCATCTAACTTCCCGAACGGTCACCCATCCTCCCATTCCCCCAGCCTGAGCACGCTTAACTTCCGGGTTCTATTCTCCCTCGTTTCCAAGTCTGCACTTGTTGTTTTCCTGACAATAGTAAGATGTCAATCCTATTAACCTTCAGGAATTTTGCTTGAGCATGAAGTGACATATTTCACTGTTTGAGTTTGAAACTATTATTTTAAAAAACAATAATTATTTAGTAACACTAATATTTCTTGAATAATTAGTTTGACCAATGTTTGACCATTGTTTGACCAGATTTGACCAAAATTCAAAATAACTGAAATAATTATTCAGTAACACTAATATTGTAGAATAATTAGTTTGACCACAGTTTGAAATTTTTTCGATTTTTTCCACTCTAGATCTAAAAAGGCCCGTAACTTTATTTCTGTTAGGTTTTTGAGGATTTTGAAAATGTTTAACGGGGTTCCCCCGGATAAATTTGGATGTAACTTTTCGAGTAGATGATTTTTCATATACAAAACTTTTTCATCCGAGTTCGTATGCAAAAGTTATGCCCATTTTACTAAATTCTAGAGAGATTTTGCAAATAAATTCGAAATTCATATTTGTAAATTTTCCCAACAACTAGACCATATATCACATGGGAAACTTATTTTCTTTTATTTTTTTGACATTTTCATCATTTTCTTTTATTTATTTTTAAACTGAAAAGGCGATCCACCGGGGGGGGTGGAGTTTGAAAATGGGACCTTTAGTATCGGTTCGTGCCATGAACCACCAACCGGAACTAATGGGCGTCGCACCCTTTAGTCCCGATTCGTGGCACCAACCGAGACTAAAAGGTCCAGGCAAACCGGGACAAATGGCCCATGTGGCCCCTGTGCGCACGAACCGGGACTAATGCCCCATTAGTCCCGGTTCTAAACTGAACCGGAACTAATGGGCTAACCCGGGGTGGACCAAAGCCCTCTTTTCTACTAGTGCCACTCCGCTAATATGATCTGGGGCAGTGTCTAGCTCGTTGGTGCTGCCGCGGACCGACCCCTCCGGCGACATCGCAGGCACGCCAAATCTGTGCGTGGCAGTGCGTGGTTATCCACAAACGCCGAATCTGCGTGCAGCGTTGCGCAGCCCTGCTCGCCCGCTGCAGCTTGCAGCCTGCGGCGGGGGTCAGGTCAGGTCGCGCACGTCATGTAGGAACCGGACCTGATCGCTCGCAGTGGCTGCCATACGCCGGTCAACTTGGGCTCTGGAGAGTGGGCCTGGAGAAAAAATGGTCCTTCGGCTTACACACCACCTGTTCTCGCCAGACATCATCCTACTCCGCTCGTAGGGCGTGGGATAACACCGTTGGCACACACCCGGCGGTAGTGGACCACGGCCCATTTAGTTTCTATTTTTGATTTCGTACATTTGAAAGAATACATTATCCAAAGAAACATACGGAAAATAAGAACTTGAAAATGGTTTAGCAAATGGTTGTCGGTTACTAAGATAACAAATCTTCGACCCTTTTGTCAAACAAATCCTTTATGTGTTTGAAAATATTTTTCTCGTAATTAAACGATGTTAGCTGTGTATTGTTAGGGTTTTAATCGTATGTCAAAAAGATGTCCATTGCATCCTCAAACAATGTTTTCTCATTTTAAAGAACATTAACCACGTACCTGAATAATGTTCATGTGTTAAAAAGATGTATATTAAAATAGGAATATTAGTGCGCATGTGAAAATATATAGATATACAAAGGGGAAAATGTTTCAACTATAAGAGATAAACATAAAACTGATAAATCTAGAACAAAAAATGAAAAGGCAAAAATAAAAAAATCATGAAAAATAAAAACTAAAAATAATAAAATTGAAGAAAAAATAACAAAAAAAAGATGAAGAGAAAAAAACTCGACATGGACTTTCCCATCTAAAAAAACAGGAAGAATAAAAAAATAAAATTAAGCCGCTAGAAAAAAATAGAGATAAAAGGAAAAGTGGCATCACCGTGTTTGGCCTGTGCAAAAAA